AATGGCTGGATCACATGGTGAGCGCACACTTAGTCACTAGACCTTTCTCCGAAGTGGTTTTGCCACTTTCCACCCCCACTAGGAGCAGTGTGTGGGCCCTTCCTGCCCCACATCCTCACAGACACCGGGTGGCGCTGGCCTTTAGCTTCAGCTTTCTGAGGTGGGGTGTGCTGTCTCTTTGTGGTTTTGATTTGCATTTCTCTGAGGACTGCAAGCTGAGCGTCTTTTCTTACTTGACATTATATTTCCTCTTTGGTGAAGTTTCTCTTCCAATCTTCTCCCCAAAAATCAAGTTTTTGTCTCTTTATTAAGTTGTAAGAGTTCTTTATTTTCTCAATACAAGTTCTTTTAATATAGAGATATTTTCTTCTAATCTACAACTTGTCTTTTCATTTTCTCAGTGGTATCCTTCCAAGACCAGAAATTTTAATTCTTGTGAAATGCAAACCCATTTTTTTTTCTGGTTCTTTTTGTGTCTTAAGGAAACCTTTGCATTTCCTTTATTATGAGTAAGGCTGTGCATCTTTTTTTCTGTCTAAGGGCCATTTGCTTATTTTTTCTGAGAACTGGCCATGTCTTTAGCCACTTTTTAAAAATTTGGTCTATTGGTCTTTCTCCTCTTGATATTTATTTATTTGAGACAGGATCTCACTCTCTGTTGCCCAGGCTGGAGTGCAGTGGTGCATTCACAGCTCGCTGCAACCTCTACCTCCCGAACTCACACCATCCTCCCATCTCCTGAGTTGCTGGGACTACAGACACCTACCTGGCTAATTTTAAAACATTATTGTAGAGAAAGGGTCTCCTTATGTTGCACAGGCTGGTCTTTAACTCCTGGGCTCAAGTGATCCTCCCGCCTCGGCCTTCCAAAGTGCTGGGATTACAGGCATGCCTGGCCTCTCTTCTTGATTTCTAAGAGCTCTTTGTGTATTACTGAGATGAGCCGTTTATGGTATGTTGTGATGTTTTCTCACAGTTTGTCTTTTTGACTGTTTTCCCGTGCATATTGCATGCATGTGTTTTTGCAGAGTCAAGTGTATCCATTTTTTATTGCTTATGGATTTGGGATCATAGGCCTTCCCTACTCCCAGGCTATAATGAGCTCACCCACTTTTGTATCTAGTATTCTTATGGTTTCATTTTCTCTAACATTTGGATCTTTATCCCATTTGGAGTTGATTCTAACGTGTGGGGTAAGGCATGGAATCAATTTTATCTTTTTCCAAGTGACTCTCTACTTCTCTTCATATCATTTATTTAAAAAGTCTATCTTTTCCTAATGAGCTGAGATGGCACTCCCCAGGCCATTATCATTAAAATTCTTGATTTCCACATGTTCTTGGACATGGTCTTCTCTCGTTTCTGTACTCTTCGTGTCCTGCTGGCCATCTGAGTGTTCCCCTGCAGACACACCCTCTCCTCCTCGGGGGTTTCATGACGTCTCCCTCGGCCCATGGTAGGGGCTTCTCACCGCTTTTCTGTTCAGAGGGTTTCCTGGGTGTCTCTGCTTCCTGTTTTTCCACATAGCCTAGAACCAGCTCGGCTGGCTCCAGAAAACATTTGTTTATCTTTGAAAATTGAGACTTTGTTAATGTATTCACTTTGAGAAAGCTGACATCTTTATGGATGTTAAATCGTCCTATGCAGAAACAAGGGATGTGGCTCTATCTACTCCAGTTTACATCTTTCCCAGGTGATACTCTTCTAGGACTGTCGCAGCTGTTTCAGAGGTTTCATATGGATTTTGTACATCTGATGTTAGGTTTATTCCCATGTGTTTATCTTTTTCATTGCTTTTATACTTTTTAAAAAAAATTTTATAGACCGAGTCTTGCTCTATTGTCCAGACTGGTCTCAAACTCCTGGCCTCAAGCAGTCCACTCACCTCAGCCTCCCAAAGTGCTGGGATTACAGGCGCGAACCACTGTGCCTGGACAATATAATGGGTGCCTTTCTTCCTTTCTCTTTCCTTTTTTTTTTTTTGCCCAGGCTGGAGTGCAGTGGCGCAATATCAAGTTTACTGCAACCTCCACCTCCCGGGTTCAAGCCATTCTCCTGCCTCAGCCTCCCGAGTAGCTGGGATTACAGGTGCCCGCCACCACGCCTGGCTACTTTTTGTATTTTTAGTAGAGATGAGGTTTCACCGTGTTGGCCAGGCTGGTCTTGAACTCCTGACCTCGAGTGATCCACCCGCCCTGGCCTCCCAAAGTGCTGAGATTACAGGTGTGAGCCACCACGCCCAGCCTCTTTCATTCTGTTTTGAACTAAACATTGTTTGCACTGCATGTGGGGGGTTATAATTGGTTGTTGTCAATTTTCTATCTTGTTCTTACCAAATACTTTTTCATTTGTATTCTAAGGGTATCTTAGCATGTATTTTATTGGGGTTTCCAGGTGTACTTTGATATTAAACACAAAAAAATCATTTGTCTTTTCCTTAGGGTTGAACGTTTTTTAAAGGTTTGTATTACATATTGCCAAATCTTTTTAAAAATATGGTACCAATTTATACTTCTCTTGTGGCAGTGTTTTGCCATACCCTTGTCAGCACTCAGTATTGATATTTTTAAAAACCTGACAGTTTCCTATGATCTTCATTAAGAGGACATTCACCGTGCCCTTCTCCACACCAGGTGCCCTGCCAAGGACACAGCTGTGGTGAGGACACAGTGGGGAGCCTGCAGATCCCAGCCCCCAGTCCCACTCCAGTTCCCCTCCAGTCCCCATCCCATCCCATCCCCACAAGTCTGTGTTCTAGTTGTTTCTTGAGGTTTCCAATGAAGATGGCTGCTGCCCTCTGAGCCCAGCCAATGGGACAAGGCCAGCAGAGAGCCCGTCCCTGCCCCCGAGATTCGCTCTGGAAAATCCCCGAGTGGTTATGTAAAATGCATTGCTCCCTGCCCCCCGCCTCAGTAGAACCGTGTCACAATAAGCCTTCCAGGTGTCTCGCGGGATCCCCTGCACAGCTCGGGCACTGTCAGCAGCCGCGGCCCCTCGAGCGCTGAATCTGTCCAGGAGCAAGGGGTCAGCCAGGCGCCTTCCAGGGCCAGTCCCAGGCCACCCAGTCCTGGTGTGGCTGAGCACCTATGCCTCTTCCCCATAGCTAAAAACCTGGTAACATGGATGACAAAATGGGTAACACCTCCCTGAAAGTTTCTGCTTTCCTCTAAAGCCTAGTCCCGGCCCCAGCCCCGGCCCCGGCCCGAGTCCTCAGGAACAGAACAACCCCAACCACCCGTTTGCAGAGGGCACTGCTGTTTGGCACTGACCCTGCCCTGCCCAGGCTGGCAGCCCTCCAAGGAGGCTGGGCAGGAGGTCCCGGAGGACACGGCCCACAAGGCTAACCCTTTTCATTCTCCATCTTGCCTCATCACCCCCCACCTTGGCGTCCTCCTCCAGGCAGCCCGCCCAGCCCTTTTCCATACACCCCTGTTCCCAGCACTGAAGCTTGCTTGTAGTGTGATCTCAGGCCAATTGCCTTACCTCTCCGGGCTTGTTTCCATCTTCACCTCACAGATAGATGTGAGGAGTGAAAGGGGGAGTATTTGCAGCAGGTCTACACAGTGCGTGGCACAGAGCGGGCTCCAGGAATGTGTGTTCACTGAATAGGAGAGTGAAAGAACGGATGGATTGTGCTGGCAAACCCTCCAGAGGCTGTTCTTCCACTCAGACCATCAGAACCCAGAGATCAGATCCAGGGGCTCCTAAATGCAACTTTTGTTAGAAACACAGCCCCCCTGCCCTGCACTGCTCAGTCCCACCCTAGGGGAGTTTTCAGCCGCACTGAGGATGCGCTCGGTGGGGACCTGACCCAGAGAAAGGGACATTTGGTCACTGGACTCCAGACCGGCCCATCCACAGCCTGGCTGGGCCGGCATCTAGACCTCGCTTGGCAATCCCCTCCCGAGAGCTCAGATAGTTTGGCCTCAAGGGAGACGGGGGAAGTGAGAGGGCTGCCTCCCCTCAGCCTGGGAGCTGGGTCCTCAGGAGAGAGAAATTTCCTTCTATTTATTTTCGACGTCCTTGACTTTGAAAGCCAAGCTGGTGTTGATATTTACCTTGGCCAGGCCTCCCGTCTCCCCGGGCCAGCCTCGTGTAAACATGCTGTTCCTTCTCTCAGCTCTGCTAGCACTGAGGTGGCCTTTTGCAACCAGTTCTAGGAATTTTGAAAGTCTGAAGGCGTAGCTTCAGGGACTGGCCCTCCAGGGAGCCCAGGGTGCCAGGGACCCTGAGACCTGCTGTGCTGGCCTTGGGCTCTCTCCCTGGGGGTTCACGCCAAGGACTGCAGGGAATGAATGGGCCTGGGTGCATGCGGGCAGGGTGTCTCTTGCTGGGTCCCTCAGTTCTCCACACAGCCACACTGGGGCCTCCCGCTCCCCAGGTTCACTGCGAGGCTCAGACTCGTTGAGGGACTGTGGCAGGATCTGGCTGTCTCTACTGTCCTGCTCCAGGCCACCTCCACGCTGGCTGGTGGGGAGGGCTTGCTCTTCAGCTCTCTAGTGTGAGTTGGGAGTGTCGGCAGCTGGACTACAGTTAGAGGGAATGTGGAACAGGCACCCAGGGTGCAGCCTCCCGAGGCAGCACGTGCCCACGCCAGAATCCCTGCCCTCAGGGAGCTTGCCTTCCAGCGGGCAGGTGGACCGCAAGGAGAACAAGCTGGCTTGGGGTGGGGTTGAGTGCTGCAGAAGCCAGGATGAGGAGAGGCTGGCTGGGTCAGGGACAGGCCCCCGAGGTGGATGTGCAGGAGGTGAGCAGAGGACATCCCCAGTGCAAATCCCAGCCCTCCACTGTTGGTTCCACCAGGTGGTTCACGCACTAGTGACGCCTTGACAAGTCTGAGATTTGGTGTCCTTGTACAGAAATGGGGTGGCAGTCCCTCAGAGGCAAGGGAGTGGTTCTGCAGGTGGGAGCTGCCATGACCACTGCGGTTTTAAAGCATCTGTGTGCCTACCACCAGGCAGTGGGACATCTTGGCTGAGCCTCTCCCCTTCTCCACGCAGATCTGGGACATGAGCGACGACGAGACCATCTGAGATGGCCCCGCTGTGAGGCTGACTTCTCCCCGGCCGCCTGCTGAGGAGCTCTCCATCACCAGAGCAGGACTGCTGACCCCAGGCTCGGTGATTCTGGTCCCCTCCTCTCCATACCCTGAGGACTGGGACCCCCTCCGCTGCCCAGGAGCGGCCATGTTCAACGTTGCTCGGGATTCACGATGCCACCAGTTCAGAGCTGAATAATAACCTTGGCTTCGGCCTCGTTATCGACCTGGGACTTGGTCCTCTGTGCAGTTTTTATTTCTTGTGACAGTGTCTGATAGCCGTCCCTCAGGATCCTTTCCCCTTGGCCCTCAGGGGGTGGCCCAACACAGACCAAATGGGGAGGTGAGCAACCAGCTCCTGTCCAGAGCCACTGCGGGAGGTGGCACCCTCATCCCCAGGATGCCCTGCCAGCCCCACTGCAGGCTTCTCCTGTGAGGGCCCTGGGCATGGCTGAGGGTGGGGCCCTGTGAGCACACTGCAGCCTGGCCCTGCTGGAGCGGGAGGAGGAGAGCCAAGCTGGGTGCGAGACTAAAGGGCCCACATGATCCACTGACCCCCGATTTCCACCACCGACAGAGTGTGCCGCCCAGACATGGCTTTCCTGCCTCCCGGCCTGTCCTCCGCTGTGGGCATAGCATCTGTGCCTGCCTGCCTGCCTGCCTGCTTGAGGGAAAGGAGTTTCTGTTGCTGCCTTGAGCTGGGGGAAGAGCCCGGGGCAGATCCTGGCAGCTGCCTGGTGAGGTGGAGTCCTCCCTGCCTTTATGAGCATGCCAGGCCCAGAAAGGCGAAGCCTGGACTGCCTTCCTGGCCCAGCTGAGGGGAGGGGTCAGACAGCTGTAACTCAGGCCAGAGCTGGTGTTCCTCTTTCTTCTGGGTGTGTGCAGCTGTGAGGCCCCAAGAGCAGGGGTTGGAAACCCAGGAGAGGCCATGGCCTGGGTACCTCTGCCCACCCTGCCCCGTGTAGAAGGCATCATCCCTGGAATGCTGTAGGAACCAGAGGCACTCTTCCTGCTATTTTATTCTTTCAGCTTTCGTCTTAGGCCCAAAAGCAAAGTGAAAATTGAGTCTGGGCTGACCCTTAACAACAGCAGGATTTAGTAGGGCAGATTTCAAATGAGGCGTCTCCCAAAGTAGCCAGTCCAAGTTCCGGTGGCTGTCGTTCAGCTCATGGGAGCTTCATGGGGACACAGCCGGCACAGGTGCAGGGCCCGAGTCCGCCCACCCAGCCTGGCGCTGAAACTCACTCGGGGGCTGAAGAGCCACACGTACACTATGTGGTTTAAGAGCACTTTATTATTGTTCTTAAGGCTACTTTTAAGTACAAAAAAAAGATGGCCTGCCAAACCTTTTTTTCTTCTTCCAGGAAAAACAGGCCACAGAGAATGGTATATTACAGATTTACACACGGAGAGACGCTCAGAGCGCACTGCAGGCGGCGTGGCTCTGGCAAGAACTTCACGGAGCCCTTCTTAGAGCGGGGAAGGGGGCTCTTTCTCAGTGAAATGTTTGGTTTTCTGCTGCCCCCTCTGCCCAAGGCCCCCTCCAGGGTACTGCCTATCCCAGATAGGTCAGTGCACCAGGGGACCGGCCACCAGCACCGCCGACCCTCCCAGAGTGACGCCCTTGTTCACTGACAGAGAGACCTGTCCCAGGAGTGTCCTCCACCGAGCCGGTCAGCAGTGGGTTGTTTTCCTGTTACGACGCTCAGTAGCCTGTAGCAATAACAAACTAGTGGCTATGATGCAGATGCAGTGTTCTCATAGAATAACTGTGTTCCTGCACTTTTACAGACAAATCTACGACAAAAAAAAAGATCAACTTTTTTTTTCCCAAACAACAACAAAAAATGAATGATTACAATAGGAAAGGGAAAAATTAAATAGCTACATATCATTAACAAATTAATGTTCTTCCAAAAATACCTACAAATTTCTCTGTACATTCTTTACGCACAGCGTAATGATGGTCTTAAAATTACCTATATAAAAAAAGTGTTCTCAACGATTTTTCCTACAGAAAATATAGGGGCCTGAATGCCAAAGCTTGGAAGCCCAGTAGAGTGGGAGTGAAATGTGTGCGGGGCAAGGAGAAGGGCTTTTCTTTCCTCCACTTTTCAAAGGCCTGCAGCCACCCTGTGACTACAAGAGCCAGTCCTCCGACCTTTTCACCCAGTGCCAATTTCCAAAATTCAACAGCCAAACTGTAAAACCAGAGGTCGTGCAGTGTGCCGAGTCCACAAAGCCTTGCAGGTGAGGTGACCACACCCATGTCACCCGGTCAGGTGCCATCGTCGTGAGCCTCTGCTGGGCCAGGCGGAACACAGCACACCCCGGGCGGAGGGGACAGAAACGCTCATTGACCAAAAAGGAGCAGCTGTGACCTCCACAGCTGTGTCTGTCATGCTTGCTTCATCTAATTTCTAGTTAGTAGCTATTAATATAGCAAATAATAAAATGCAGTAATAATAGTATAAAGTCAGAGGAATGTATACTGCCTTGGCCCCAGCGTACGAGGAAGCGTATAAAACACCGTATCACAGATTGTCAGTAATCTGCTGTTCAGCCAAGAGAGTTCAAAGGGAGCAGTTTCTGCATGTAGGGAAGCTGGAAGACACAAACCCCACCTCCCCTGGGAGCTTGTAACAAAGCAGACGGGGATGCAAAAATGCTGTCAGCCGGCAGCAAAACTCCAGCATCCCACACCGCAGCTGACCCACTGCTCATCACGAGGGCCTGCCAGGAGCTGGCCTCCCGCACTGCTTGTGAGTAAAGTGAATATCAAATACAAATCTTAGAGTACAACTGTACCAGCAGTAAGTATATCTAGGACTGTAACTGACAAAAATAAACTAATTCTGAAAAGAAGATAGTAAGTATTAAGGTTTTTGTTTACTGTCTATATAATTAATAGAAACCAGCTATTTTTTCTCCATTAAAACATGCATCACGTTTAAAGCACTACGGAATCCTCCAACCTCAGCTCTAGTCTAACAAACTGCAGTGTTCAGAGAAGGTAAAATGCCCGTGATTGGTAGAGTCTGCAGTCCAGTTGCAAGCACCTGAAATCTAGAGAGAGAAAGACCTATAACCTGTATGAGACTTCCCCTTCCAAAGCTGTATTGTCTAGATTAAAAAAAAAACAAAAACAGTAACAACAACAAACACACAAATGGTCAGAAATGTCATCCTTAAACCCTTTGTTTTTCAGCAGTTTGCCCTCAGAGTTCTGGCATCACACATAAAGTTGTCAGGCAACTTTAGTCCTCCTCCAATAGTGCAAATCAGACACGACAGTTCTCTTCAAGTATACACACGCACACACACGGACCGAACCAAACACGCCGTGGAAGCTGAGCCACACACACCCCGGTCTCAAGAAGCAAAGGAAAAAGCACAAAGCGTCCGAGTCACCAATTCATCATGGCTTGTGACTGAGAAAGCGCTGTGGAGTCCTGGCCCCGTCGGGGCGGCAGACCTGCATCAGAGGTTTCTTTGGTAACTGAGGCAGGAAGTAAGGATGCTACATTAGACAGATGTTCCACACGTAGTTCCTGCTATCATGTTTGAGGGCCCCCTTGTACGGATACCAAGCAAGTACAAAAACAGAACAAAAATCCCAACATCATGGTTTTTGCGAATAAACCATCCCTTCCCTTCCCCCCACCCCACCCCCATGTTTTTTTTTTTTTTTTTTTTTAAAGTACTGACTGTTCAAAGCTCAGGCAAACCATGCAGATCCACGTGTTGTTGGAGGAGGCGCTCCCTTCAGGAGACCACAGAGGGGGAGTGACTGTGGCTGACCATGTGGGCAGAGGGGCTGGCGGACTGGCCCCTGCGAGAGGCGGACTCAGGGCTGCTGGACGCTCCGTCCTTGGCCGCTTTGATCTGGAGCCACGTGTCACCCAGAGCTTTGGCAAAGTGGTCGTCCACGGAGCCCGTGATGGACACAGAGTTGGGTGCCGGCTCGGGCTCCTTGTAATTCTTGCCCAGGCTCCTACGGAAATGCTCCTCCACCACGGGGTCACAGGTGGTGGCGGCTGCAGGCAAGCAGGAAGGCAGTCAGACACAGGTGGCTGCAGACAGGCACGGGTGCAGCACCCTCCCTCGGGCAGCCCAGAGCTGGACTGGCTGCCACAGTCAGTGTGGGCTCTGCAAACAGAACCCACCTCCCCCGGCTAAGTCAGGCACTTGGGCAGGTCACTTCTCTGTAAAATGGTGATGTACCGACTGCACTGGGCCAGAGTCCAAGTTCAGAAAGAGAACGTGGCATTAAATTTAACAGTAGCTGCTGCCCTCCCTGAACTAGGGCATGAGATCCTGGAATCAAGGGGGGGCAGCGTGTTTCTCATGCCCTTCCCACCCAAGCCACACACAACGCTAGGTACACACTGGACGTGCTCAAAAAATACTTTTTCAACCTCAGCAATAGATGGGCTCAGGGGCGAGGGGTTTCAGCCAACAGCATGACAGAGAAGGGCTCTGCTGCTACTAGCACAGCTGTGACAGGTGAGGAGGCCCGGGACACTCACCGCTTGGTGGCCTCCGGTAGCTGGCAGGCCCGGGCGCGGCACAGCCGCTGTGCGCGATGGGGCAGTGCGAGAGGTTGCAGTTGCGGGCGCCAGCCGAGGCACAGGTGATCACGGAGGGCCGGTTCTGCGGGGAAGAGGGGTGTCAGTATGTGGAGACCCGCTTCAGTACCGGGCACCGCCCCTGGGGCCCTCCCCAGCACCCTTCAGGCTCTGTTCTGGAGCCCTTCCTGACCCCGTCTGCCACCTCCCACTTCAACACTGGAGTCCTGTTGCTAAACATGGCCAATCCACAGAGTGAGTGCAGCTCCAAGGGTGTGTGTAGTGGCCCTTGGTCGTGGCTGTTTGGATCAGTGACAGTACAAAGGACAAAAGCTCAACTGTTGAGTTGGTCTGTCCCCCTCTCTCAAATCTGTTGAGACAAACACCGAGCATCCTGTGGAGGGCACAGGGTTGCAGGAGGGACCTCGCTTCTCCCGGTAACGTCCCCAGAGCCCTTCCCATTGTGTCCACTGAGCCGCGGGTGTGCCTGGAGCCATCCAGGACACTTCAATACATGGCAATTAACTGGAAGCATTTTGCTTGAGCCAAAGCCAGCTCGAGTTGGCTTCAGTGATGACCTACAAATCAGGACAGAGAGGAAATGGAGGAAATACGCCTGAGTGTAGAACGGTACACGTCCCACCCCAGCCGGATCTGCCTTGCACACAGACTCACTCTCCTTCCCTGCCACTCCTACGCTGTCTGCCTGGCAGACTCCCCTTGTTCCTTCAAGCCCTGTTCAGATCTCTCTGTGAAGCCTTTCACTGGCTGCCCCCCGCTTCACTCCTGCTCCCCCAACCCACCAAGATTCAGCAAGTGCATGGGTCTGTCCAGGTGCTCCTGTAAGACCACGCACACCAGGCAGTATGTCTGGCCCCTCAGCCTAGGTGCAGAACCTTGGACAGAAAATATGTGTGAACTAAACAGAACTTCCTCAGGTTCCCCCAGGAAAAGTTTCTTGCAATATCCCTGAGGACAAGGTGGTGGAGCATGTGGGCTGAGTTCCAGGACAGCCAGTGAGGAGCTGGTTGAAATCACCCCACAGGGACCAAGGGTGACAGTAGTGTCAGCCAGAGGGATGCTGGGCTTCGTCCTTCCCAGCCAGCTCTTTCCATTCAAGTCAGAGCAGTAGCTGGTATAAAGACACAAAAGGCTTGCCTGCCAGACCTTCTCATGATAGAAAGTGATTGGGAATGGCGAAAATGGATTCTAGGATGAAAATGTGGATCCACAAGGATGAACTGGGATTAAACATAAGGGTCTGTACTTGGGTCTAACAAGAAATGACACACGCCAGGGTAGAGGGAGACGTGGCTTAGCAGCAGCAGACAAACCAAGAATTCAGGGTTTCTGAGTGGCGCAATACTTCCACAGTGGGACAGAGCTGCCCAGAGTTCGTGTCGCCTCCGTGGTGTGCACAGGTGGCAGCGCAGAGAACCTGGGCAGGTGGAGCTGGGCTGAATGTCCACGCTCTCCCTGTGGACAGGGCCTCAGGCGAGGGTCTTCACAGTGCTGAGCAGACAGGGTCGGAAAGGGGGTTGGGGACCGACAGATGAGGCCTGGAGCAGATCTCACACTGGCTGACCACAGAGGTCAAGCAGCAGCAAGAGAGCAAGATACCAAGACCTGGACAGGCGCAGAGCCAGGAGGGAGGAGGGCCTGCCCCGTCCAGCTCTCAGTGAGATGGCCAGGCCCTTCCCAAGCCTGGCTGGACCCATGACTTTGGGCTCAAGGAGACCCCCCAGGATCCTCCCAATAAAACTCCCTTTTGTGCTCAGCCGGCTTGTGCTTTGCAGCGAGTATGTCCTGAGCCACGCAGATGTGGGGAACTGGGGAGACGTTTCAAGCACGGGGAGGGGAATCAAGGAAGAGGAAGAAATGAGCTCGCTGTCCAGCCTTTATGTCAGTCTATCCAAGGCAGGAAAGGCCATTTCAAAAGAGAGTCTCTAGCACGGGACCAGCAGGGCAGGCTGGCCAACTGGTATCAGAACACGTTTAGGGTATCTCCTGACCTGAGCTGCAGCGAATCACCTTAACCGGTCACCTGCAGATGCGAAGATGTTCAGTGTCTGGGTATCCTCTCCTCCTCCCCACAAGCCAGGCTGCAGGGTGGCCCGTGAGCCCTCCTGGGACTGGCTGCACCACCCCCCGGCCCCCGCTGGAGTCAGACACCTCGCCCTTGCCTCTGTAGTGGAGTGCAGGCCGGGACTCGTCCATCTAGAACAGGCCAGGCCTCCAGATGGTGAGCGTTTATGGGATCTCGAGGCTTCCCTGCCCCACGCCCTTGTTTTCCAGATGGGGAAAACGAAGGCCAGAAACCCCCTGCTGGAAGTTACGCCGCAGATTTATGGCAGGGCCAGGATGAGCCTTGTCACTAACCCCTTCACCCGCTGCCCCACCCCCTGTGACTGTCCTCAGACAGAGGCTGCCCTGGGGGAGACAGCGCCCACCTGTCCTATCTGAAAGCAACCCCCAAGGCTGGCTGCACCAACACTTTTTTTTTTTTTTTTTTGAGACGAAGTCTCACTCTGTCGTCCAGGCTGGAGTGCGGTGACGCGATCTTGGCTCATTGCAAGCTCCGCCTTCCGGATTCAAGTGGTTCTGTCAGCCTCCCGAGCAGCTGGGATTACAGGCACCCACCACCACGCCTGGCTAATTTTTGTACTTTTAGTAAAGACAGGGTTTCACCATGTTGGCCAGGCCAGTCTCGAAATCCTGGCCTCAAGTGATCCGCTGCCTCGACCTCCCAAAGTGCTGGGATTACAGGTGTGAGCCACCGCGCCCGGCCCTCAATGTGCGAAGCTTAACCCCATCCTGCCTCTCCTCACTGGCTGCTGCCCAAGGCCACCCTCTTGGTGTCTGTCTATCCTGAGCCGCCGTCACAAACATGAAATGGGGGGACACTTTCTGCAGCCTCCCCATACATGCTCCTCAGGGAACTTTCCTGTCCCAAGTTCCCAGAGATCTGAGTCACATTTTCTGCCACACAGAGGAAGGTTTCCACCACGTCCACCCACAGGGCTGCAGCATGCATTCTGCCCACCTGTGGACACAGAGCTTTGCTGTCACCCCAGGAAGCCCCCTCCCCACCACCATTCGCCTGGCTCTGAGCTACAGGATGACACCCGACAGACTCCCGGGAAGGGGCCTCAGAGCTGCTGGAGCACAGGCAACGTGGCTGCTTGGTGTCCTCAGCAGGGCGCTGGAGCCCAGCTGAGGTTCCAGTGCGTGGCCTCGGCCCCGCCACGCTGCCGCAGGAAGGAGCCCCACAAATGGCTACGACGTGAATGACATGTGCTGACAGCAGCCACGGCAAGGAGGGCAGGATTGACCCCCTCTTCCCCACCAAGCCCAGCCTAAAGTGACAGCTCTGGTCGGGCCACTGTGCCCTTCCCAGGAAAATGGACAGCTTGGGGTGCCCCGTGGTCCCTGGCTTTGTCCTTGCTCCAGGCCTGGATCCTGTAAGGACACAGCTGGGGAGCTGAGGTTCTCCCTCCTAGGAAAGCTGCTCAGGAGCCCCAAGGCACGAGGAGGGGCCCTCGCCACATGTGCCGTGGGCAGCAAGGCCCGTTCCAGGTTGGAGAGAGGGAGACAGGCTAAAGAAATCAGGCCACTCTGTTCAGCAGTTCCGGTTTTGCAAAGCAACTGTGACCGAAACCAACTGCAAGATTCTCAAGAGCCTTGGAGAGTCAAGGAAATCATCATCTAAGAAAACACTAAGCCCGTCAAGGGCCCACCCTGACCCTGCGGGCAGAGACAGCCCGCGAGGCCCACAGTTACATCCCCCAGGTCACCAAGGGCCAGAGGCTGGACGTGGGTGCTCTGAGATTACAGCTGAATCCTCCCCTCCATTCCCCTGTCCTTCAGGGACTCCCCAACAGCCGTGGCCATGGCCAGAGAGCCAGGTTCCACCTGCACAGTTCAGGCCATGGCTCGTGGCATCATTACAATGCCTGCTGAGCTTCACAAAGCAGAAAGGTCCACTGCCCACCCCCGGAGGCAGGGAGCGGGTCCCTGTGGGTCGCACTGCCCACACGCCTCTGCTGCTGCCCAGGCGCACACTCCTCTCTTCTCACATCCATTTCCCCAACTAGACTGGGAGCTCCCTGTGGCCATGACAGTGTCCACACAACCACCTCTGGCTGCCCAGAGCTCCACTCTGCAGAGGGCTGGGTAAATGGTGAGCACTAGTAAAACGCTGACACGAACAGCAGTGATAATCTGGCCCCAGGTTCCATCAGACACATCAGCGCTCTCTCCTCCAGACGAAAGCTGAGTGTGCTGAGAACGACGACTGCATCTTGCTGGACTGGCTTCTGGCACCCGCTGGCACACAATAGGGGTCTATGCCATTTTGTTAAATGAATGAATCAAACAAACAGGATTACAATGTCAGACTCCAAGGCAAGATGGGCAACTGTTCTCAGCTTCACCGGGATTCCCAAGCACCAGAAGCACCTCTCCCAACTCCCAGGGCCTCCCCCACCCGCAGTTCCAACAGACCCCATCAGAGACGGACACCAGGCAGTGCTGCTTGAGGGAAGCCCCGGGGGTGCCGCAAGGACACGGAGGCTCTCGCAGTTGAATGCACGGAGCCTGGAGGCTCCCCTCGGGGCGCAGCACCCTCCTCTCTGTCAGTCTTAGCAAATGCTGACTAGTGACTAAGGAGCTGTTAGGTCGCAGTGCCCGGAGGTTCAGAGAGCTCCAGCAGCGATTCCAAGCCTCCTCAATGCTGCTGCCTTCCCCCACACACTTCCCCAGGAACCCCATTTTTAAAAAGATTTGTTTCTACCAAGCAAACGGTGTTTATTATGTAATCATTTAATTTCCTATATTCCTTTAATAGAAAAAACTCCCTACGTACCCATCATAGGCTTCTGACCAGCACGGGGGCTCACAACCCTGCGGCCATCAACTGTCCAGGACCCCAGCCCAAGGCAAAGCAGCCTGACATCTCCCTTCATCTGCGTGACCTTCTCAAGGAGAAACGGAGGACCCCCCTGAGGATGACGACATTGATCCTAAGAGAATCAGGCCTGCCACAGAAGACTGCTGAAGAAAATGTCAGTACACCACCCTGTACTGTGGCAGGAGAGAGATGAAGCCCCAGTGACATGCACCTTGCCCAAGGCCACGAGTGCTAAGATGCGAGGTCCGGGCAGGTCTGGGCAGGAAGTAAAAGCAGAAGAGGACTCCTGTTCTGCTGTCCCTTGTCCCAAGTGCAGAACGGAGGCGAAGGGTGGCATCCCTTACCACCTCCCTCCCTCACCACCGCCCTCAGGGTCCTCTGCCCGGGGCTCTGCATCCAGCTCAGTCCCCCAGCCCCCGGACTCCCCCTGCCACCCTCCCAGACAGAGGCCCACCTGCTGCCGCTCCCCCGGGGTCAGTGTGGGCGAGAGGCCGGTCGGCCTGCTGGCGTCCAGGCTGTTCTTGGTCAGTGCGAGGGGCTGCTCCAGGCCGAGGCTGGGGAGGGACGTGTACAGGTGGCTGCCGTGCAGGCTCATGGTGGGGGCCACGGCGCGTTCGATGGGGCTGCGGCTCCGCTCCCGGGGGTCTTTGCGGCAGTCGCCATTGGCAGTCTTGTTCCTGAAAAAGAGGAGTGAGCGTTCAGAGGGGAATCCCTGGCATTTTCTGAAAGGCAAAGGGGACAGTGACTGTGTGCCAGGCACTCCGTGTTGCTTGTTTAATTTTTTACCCTGAAGCTCAGGTCGTGTAGCTGGGCAGCATGAGGAGGAGCCGGCTACCAGCCCGGGTCAGCCTGACCCCAAAGCCCCTGGGTGCCGGGGAGGCTGCTGCCAGCGGAGTCCAAAGTCAGCTCCATAGAAGATGGAGCCCCCGACCCGGCGGCGTCCTCTGCCCGACTCTCTGTTCACTTCTACAATAATCTCCACCCCCTCGGAGCCTGGGGAGCTGGAGGCCAAGCTGGTTTGATAAGGACCTGCCATGTGGACAGGACGGGGACACTGACAATGATCCAGTCACCGGCTGTGTCCTACATGCCGGGCCTGGTCTAAGCCTCCACAGTACTGCTCAGCCCATCTTCCTAACAGCACCAAGCAGGCAATGCCTCCACCACCCCCTGTCCAGACGAGAACCCCGAGACTCAGCTCAGGCTCCTGGCTGACACGTGGTGACGTCTGCTCTGGTGCTCCCGGGACGCCGCAGGGAGCCAGCGCGCAGCTCGCTCATCCAGGACACACGAGCAAGAGTGACCTGCGTCCAGAAGGTCCATCACTAGCCCTGGCCATGTGCTGAGCTCTCAGGCGATGCCACGTGGAATCCAGGTGAGACAGTCAGCACCGCCTCCATCCGATGTGTTAGTCCAAAGGCAGTGTTACATGTCGCCATCTATCAGGCACTGGCCCCACACAGATAAGGCGTGGCCAGCCCCGGTCCACCCTCCACACTTTATTCCAGGGGTCCCACAGTGGCATCTGCCTTGGGTCTTGCCTCTTGAATCCACCACATTCTCCGCTGACAGAGTAATCTTTTTCCATAACTAATGAGCTGGTCTTTTAAAGAAAAATGTGATGAATCATGATTTGAGTGAATTTTCCTTAAGAAATACAAATTATTTTCAGAGTTTGCAAGTAGTCACCTGTCTTAACTAGCAGAAAAGCCTGGGCCTGCCCTGGTGAAGCAGCAGCCACAGCCCCCATCCCGGACTGGCTGAGTATGTTACACACACACACTGAAGATGTTACACACACACACACTGAATGTTACACACAATGTTACGCATGCGCACAGAATGTTACACACTGAATACGTTACACACATGCACGCACACACTGAATATGTTACATAAACGCACACACACTGTTACACACACACGCATGCACCACACACACATGCATGTGACAGGCATACCTTTCTGAAACTGTCGATTAACTTCAGTTGTAAGAACACAGAGCCATCACATGCACCCTGTACCCTGACTCCCCGGATGGTGGCATCTTGTAAAAGTACAGTACAATATCACAACCAGGATAAGACAACTACCAACCTTATTCAGATTTCCTGTTTTGCCTGTATCCATCCCAGAGCAATCTCTTTATAAAGCAAATCCAACCACATCCAGCCCTTAGTTAATGTTTTTAGCAGCTCAGCACGGGCCTTGGTAGCCTCTGGGCCTGACCACCTTCCCATCCTCATCTCTGGCTCCAAGCCTCCAAATGTTGTGCTCCGCAGTTTCAACCGTCTACTTGCCATTCCTCAAATAAGACGCAGCCACTCTGCCTCTGTGGCTGTGTACAGGCGGTGCCGCTCTAGCCTCCCTCCTCCCCCTGTCCTGCACTGCCAACCACAGCTGCAGCGTAAAATCCCAAAGTGCCCCGTGCAAACCTTTAATATAGAACCCATCACCCACCGTCAATGATCTCTTCATCTATGCACCTGCCCCTCCTCACATTACCTCGCCCCTCCTATCTCATTACCCTTGCTACCATGGGCGCACAGAGAGAGACTTAACAAGTGAACGAAGAGAAACAGTGCATGGATGACTGGGTAAGAAAGGCAGGTATCGTGGAGTGGAACTGTGGATGGGCAGAATCATGGAGAGCTGGAGGGCTGAGGAGTCAACTGGAGGTGCGTTCAAGCCTTCAGATGGACTCTGCAGCCCAATCAGTGAGCTGTTAAGGGCTGAGCAGGAGAAGCACCAGAGGGGGCCTGAGTGCAGCCTCGGCTGTGATGTTGTGACGTCATTCTGTGCCATCTCTAGCAGGGGCACGTGCTCGGCTTGCCACTCAGTGCCCCGAGGCGTTCGGAGCCTCGGCGTCTCCATGTAACCATGTGGTCATAGTAAGATCCACCCAGAGGACTCTAAACGGGGGACAAACAGCACACAAACCAAAATCAGGGAGTGCCAAGAGGACCCAGTCAGCCCTAAACCAAAACAATCACAGCGGCGCACTGCAGCCCTCAGTGAGCGCCAAGAGAACCCTGTCAGCCCTGAACCGAGTGTATTGATTATAGGGTGATTAGCTGTACAAGACCCAGTATTCGTTTATGGGTTTTTTTCTTTCCTTTTATTCTCTGGCTGATGATACAGAATGTCTTAAAAGCAATGAAGGAATAAACGTTCAGCCCATTAAGACAACCATGGAAGAGAATGTTCTGGCCAGAGCCTAGACAGTAGGTTCCATCAACGCCACACGCATCCTGGCGATTTTCAAAACATTAAAATACTAAAAACCTTAATACTGAACCCAGCCTGTCCATGATGTCGCTGTCCGCGGCAGTTCAGAAGACAGCACAGGTTTCTGCAATGAATGCCTCAAGGGTTACGATCCCAGACACGGACATCACCAGAGGATCTTCCACGGAACGGACATCAAGCCAAGCAGGCCTGAGATCCGCTGGCTTCTACCCTAAATGGGGCTTGGCTCCCGAATACTCAATTCATCCGTGTCACCGCACATCCTCATCTTCAGTGTCCCGCTCCCTTCCAAATTCAGATAAAGACACAATTTCATTGTTAACGACATGAGTGAATGGCTTCTCTCCTCCTCACTGATACTTCCACGGGCCACTTCACGAAGTGCACAGACCTGGGGGCTCATGTCACGGATTCAGGAGCGCCTCAGACGTGGTGTGCCTCTGAATTTAGACTTCCGTTCACTCAGCCAGTGCTAGCTGAGTCTCTGTTCTGTGGAGGTTACAGAAAGGAAGCCACAGCCCTGCCTTCTCATGGGCTTACAATCTAGCAGGGACAGAAAGGCCCGGGAGGGGCTGCAGCTCCCAAGTGACGGCTCTGGCTCCAGGCGAGGTCCGAGGATAAAGACAGAAGTCCAAGGATAAAGACACCCCCGGGTGGCAAGGAGGAGCAGCCTAAAGCTCAGGCCGCGTCTGCCCATGTCCAAAGCCAAGGTCGGGGCACATAAGGCATTGCCCACCCCTCGCACCTTATGTCCTAGGGGCACGGCACAGTCACGTGGAAGACTCAGCGGCGCCTCAGGAAATCCAAGCATGACTTGGAGACCACATCACAGAGGAGAGGGGTGCCAGGGCCACCAGCTGCCAGGGCAGAGGTAAGGACAGGGCAGCCCCGCACCTAAATCCACCGTCTGTGCTCCCACAGCCCCACTGCGCGCCTACCCTACGCAGGGCAGCGGGGAGAAGGGGACTTCCAGGCGCACTAACTGGAAAGATGGTCCATGGAACACAGCACAGTGGGCACTACGGGTCAGACAAAGACGCTGAAAACAGCGAGAAAAGGCCCAGAGAGCTGGCTGGTTAATTTTAGTAAAATTATACATTACTCACATTTCCAGCTCGTTTTCCTGGTTCCCGGAGCTTCAAGACAGACATTGTTTTCTAGGCCCTGCTCCCCCCGGTGAATCACCTCCCAGCCACTGCTTCCCAGGCGTCATGTGCTCCCCAGGACGGCAGAAAACCACACGCATCCTGCCCGGGAGATGGGAGTCACCTCTGCTCCTGGTCAGGACTGTGCCCGAGAGAGCCCACTGCATCCCCGCGAGCACCCAAAGGACTCCGACTGGCTCCGTGCCAGGCCCATCGGAGCCACTGAGGCTGCACGGCACCCGGCCCTGACGCGGGCCTCATCCCCATCCTAGGCAGGTACTTCCACTGCCAGCTGCCCATGGACAGAAAGATGGAAAGAGGAGGGGGGGAAAGAGAGGCCTATGACACTATCATCTAGGACAGAGTTTTCTGAGGACTGAAGGCCACATGCTCTCTAAGCTGAGAAACCAAGAATGTGTATCATATTTGGGGAAAAGTAAACCAGATTCCAAGCAGTGACACTGAAAGAATCCATCACGTGAAAAAAGTGCACTGCATGTTTGATACTCATTAAAATGAGTTTCCCGCGCTCCAACATTAAAATGAGCTTCCTGCCCTCCAACAAACGCGCTCCAGGATGCTCGGCCCCCAGCCCCATCACCTGACGTTCTGAGCCTGCACTGCGCTCCATTCACCACGGACCGCCGCGAGCTACACTGATCTGAGTCTGAGTTCTTCTGCCTGAGGAGGGGGTGTGGGTACAAGACATTTTGAGGATATATTCTGGGGTCCCCAAAGGCCCCTGGGCACCATGGCAGGGCAGGTGCTCCCACCCGGTGACAGAGATGAGGCCCAGGGCAGCCTTGGGCCCTGGCCTCCCACAAAACACCATCCTGAGGCAGCAAAGCAGCCCATCCCTATGCCAGGCGGTGCCTGGCAGAAGTAGACTGAAGGCTGTGCAGAGACATCCCCCAAGTACCAGAGTCCAGCCGGAGACAGAGGTTCGAAGGAGGGGCCAGCAGTGGGCCAGTGAGTGGGCCGGGACACAGCCCCATCTCCAGCCCTTTCGTCCTCTCCCTCCCACCGCAGCAGTTACAGGAGAATCTGACCTCTGAGAACTGGCAGGACAGCCGGATGCCCACACAGTCTTAACACATCATAATGAGGTTGCTGGCTGGGCATGGTGGCACGCACCTGTGGTCCCAGCTACCTGGAGGCTGAGGTGGGAGGATCGCTTGGGCCCAGGAGGTGGAGGCTACAGCGAGCCATGGTCACGCCACTGCACTTTAGCCTGGGTGACAGAGCAAGACCCTGTCTTTAAATAAGTAAGATTGCTAGCACAT